TTCTGACTTGTTCACAGGCTGGATCAAACTTATTCTGCCAAACTTCTTTGACTACCAGAACTTGCAGCATCATGTGACAGATGACATTTGCTGGCTATTTGGTTTGTGCTGAAAAGCAATCCCTGGTCTTATAGGTTAAATTTTAGCAATGTGCTAGGTTCCCATCTCTGACTGAAGTTGAACAGACTTTGGGTAGTAATCTCATTATTTTCTCTAAGATATATGGTGGCTATCTGGAGAAAACAAGCCATGTGTCGTCTTGTATTTTCCCTAATTAAATAATGAATAAAAATGCCCAGTGTGCCAGTACTTTTGTGTTTTTCAATACATATATGTACCATATGCAAACACAAACGCCAGCTGATGTGTGGCTTAAAATAGTGGATTCCAAAGTTAAAAATAAAAATAGTTGAGTCTGTTATAAAAATTTAGGGGAAAGTAAAAGCGCATTTATTGTTTGAATAATAGGATATTTCAAAGATCCTTGCTGTGTATTCTAATACCTTTTTTGTGCCTTAATGTTTTCAAATGTAATGATTTTTACCCCTTATTTTGGACTGATAAGATATATGGGAACAATTTAAATGTTTTTCTGTGTGGACTCTATATTGTTCACCTGTAGACTGTCAAGATGCTCTGGCTTAAGTGCTGGTAAATACTATCCCTAGTGCACCTTTTAATGCTTCCTTTAATTCAAACTGTTGCAGAGGATAATCCTAGGATTAGGATGATGAAGGCTATAATTTAGAGTCAGATGGAACAGAAGATTTTTCTGGCACCAAATAATTTGCCTTTAACAAGGCATATGAAAAATATAAGTCTTAGAAGAAGGCATCTTTCCTTCATTGCTACTAAATCCAAAATCAATGTGGAAATGCACCGAGAACATATTTGGATCAGACCTTTCTGTTCAGTGTGAGTTTGTGTTCTTTTGTATGCCTGATTTATATCACATACATTGCAGAGCATGTGATAGGTACCTCTTGTAATCCTAATCTTAAATGCCAGAGAAAAAATAGTGCTGCCAAATTCGTGTCTGTTTCCCACAAGGAAGTAGAGGCATGCCAATTTATTTATATTGATCAGGAGATAGCTTTTAAAGTGTAGTTGGGGAAATAACTTTTAATACAAGACTTCAATATACTCCATAAAACCGTTTGACCAGTTCTTAACTTCCTGATTTCTGTAAAAAAAAAAAAATATTAAAAAAAACATATATATATATATACAAAAAAAAGCATTCAAGGAAAGCAGCACTGGTTTTATGTCATGTCAAACGTCTTTTCTGTCTTCAGTTCAGAGGCAAAGTCCCTCCTCCATGTGATCCTGTGTGCAAGATCATAGACTGGATTCTCGCTGTTTGGCACCAGCTCAACTCTTGCTTGTCACGTCTGGGAGCACCTGAAGCTCTTATGGGGCCAAAACATTTCTTCTCTTGTCCTGTGGTGCCAGGGCACGGCCAAGCGACAGTGAAGTAAGAGCTCTGTTCCCACTTAACACTGTTCACTGACTACTAGAGACTTACTACAAATGTTGTAGTTATGTTTCTCCCCAAACCCATCCGACTCAGCAACGTTGCAAGTATTTTAGTGGAAGTGATTGGAAGTTTTAAACTTTAGTTTGGTATTTAATTACTAGAGGAGCAATTCTGAAGGACACAGGTGGGAACAGGGTTTCTGACACTGGCTGAAAGTCAGTCTTGTCATCTTTCCGTTACTTTCTGACAGAGGTTGCAAAATACCACTTGTACTGGAAGGGCCAATAGTGCTCAACACTTTAAAGGTTTTTGTCTTCATTTCAAGACAGCTCTGTAAAGAATTCTGTCCATTAGTGAACAGGCCAAAATAAGACTCAAGAATTCTGAGCTTGAGAAGTTGGTAACATTTCCTTCTGAAGTCACATATGAGGGAAATTTGGAGAATGATTTCCTCATTCTTTTTAATGTATGCATGTTTAAAAAATAATACTATATAATTTCACAGATGTATTATTTTAGCAAATAAGTCAGATATGTACATTTAGCTATACATGTGGTTAGATGTCCAGTAACAAATGAAAAATTATGAAAATTTTGTATTCCCTACAATTGCATGAACATCTGCTCACACTCCAACTTAGCTGCAAATGCTAGCAAGTGATAAAAGAAATAGTTACAGAATTTTGAATTATATTCATTCAATTCTAACATGTTGCTTGACTAAATTAGAAAGGTAATGAGCCTCTAATTAAGATTCAAACTTATTCATAATTCAAATAATAATGTTGATTTCTGGAGGTGCAACTTTACTTTTCTCACCCTGCTTTCCAGCATCCTCCTGAGTTGTTACTTCTGTTCCCTCTCGGACTTTTTACTCTTGTACAAGTTTTTGCTGACCCTTCTTCCAGGGTTCTTTGCTTAGTCTGTGCATTGGCTTTCTTATCTTCTATTCTGTGTGCAGATCTTGATACATTTTGCTTGTTCATTTTCCATTTTATTCCAAAAGGGCTGGCTGTCTAATATCCTAAGTAATTATCAAAGTCTCAGTGTGAATGTAGCATTGACTTGAAATTTTATGGGTGCTATGAAATAAAAAAAAAAGTATACTATGCATCTATCTCCTGACACCCTTTGGAAACCAGTCCTCTGAAATGTCTTAATCATTTATTTATTCCAGTGGCATTAGTAGAGGACAGAACTAGTCCTTAGATATTTTAATTATGCATTTCTCAGTTTGGATTTCTCCGAAGCATGGCTTTGACTGGATTCACAATGTTTTATTTTAAGCATAACCCCAAAATGTATTGTATAGTAACAATGTACCATCTGACTCCTCATTTTAATGTAGTTTTTGCCTGTTAATAAATAATTAAAAAGCACAGTTCCAGTGAGCACTTACTGGATGCTTTTTGTTTTAACATACAACAGCTAAGAGTGAGGTCATAAAACTAGCAATAAATAGGTATAATTAGCAGCTCACTGGTTGCTGTTACTTCAATCTAATTAACCACTTCTGTCCTCTTGCCCCTCCTTTTCCCTGTGCTATTCTGCTGATTTTTGCATTTATTAAAGCTCCACTGAGTTCACAATTCATTAGGACAGTAGACAGCTATCTACAAACTGGGTTTGTTCTGGGCTAATGGTTGGCACGAGGCAAGTGGCAGAAGCAGGCAGCTGGGAAGGGAGTGAGAAGGCCTGATAGGGAGCTGGTTCCCACTGGCTCCTGCTTAATGTAGTGAACAAATGAGGAGAGTTGTAGCCACTTTTTCTTTCTTGGTTTTGACCTAAGGAATTAGAGATGATGTTCCAACAGGAAGGAGTTTCACTTTACAGCTTGTTTTCAGGGGCAGGGTGGTGCTATACCTTTCCTAAGTAGTGGCTGTATCAAAGAACTGGGGACTTGATCAAGGCAGAAACACAAGATTGAATTTAAACACCAGGTTGTCACTTAATTTAGAGAGGGTGGCATTGTACCAGCCCATCAGTTGTTAACTGTTAGATTACAGTGGGCTCTAGTAATTTTATATTTGCAGTGTTCATTTCTGGCTAGCAGTTCTGCAAAATGTCAAAGGCTTACATAGGCAGAAATGAGAGAGAGTTATTCATTACTAAAATGAAAGCAGTAGTTTATCTTGGTAGCTTAGCTCAGCTAGCAGAAGCATACTGTATCTATATGGAATGGTATCTACATTATGCTAAGGAAGCTTCAAGGACCATTTCTAATATGCATTTTACATCTTAGCAACTATACTAATTATTTCTCTAACTCATGTAACTTTCATTGAGCTTATACCAGCATTTTGTAGCATGGTTACATATCATAAAAACTCGATCTTATGCTTCATAACTAACCAAAAATACATCTATCTATATGATTCATGCCTTTTTATGTTAATTTTTTTTTTTTTTTTTAAAAAAGCCAAAAAAGTATCATAGTCTTTTTGGGTAATAAAATGGCTTCTGCGTATCAACATCTTCAACAAAATTATTCATTTAAATCAAACAGACATTTTAGCCTTCACTTTTTCTGAATGGATTTCTGTGAAGCTGCAACACAGCATTATAGCCTATCGTTTCTTAGAGACCTTTAATATCAACCCTCCCACACTCAATCTTACCATCTTCCTCTCATAAGAGGGTATAAGGGGAAAAAAAGTAATTTAATTTGATCTAAAAAAGATTCTCCATGTGTCTGTTATAGATGTGAGCTGAGCCCTAAGCCTGAAACTTCTAGCCTCTCTCACTTGAGAAGTATAAGCTGTAAAAAATAGCGTCCATTTATTTCCCAATACAAATTTTCCACTTCTGCGCTAGAACAACATCACACTTATCTCTTAGAAAAGCCAAAGTCCCAGAAGAACCATGTGCCTTTGAATGAAGTTTCTGTAATCAGACCCAGTCCCTAAACCCAGCCGTCAGGGAGGGGGATGGCAGCCTGGAAACGCAGCTCCCCATGGATGCGCTGGACAAAAGGCGAGTGAGAGCGACGCAGCTGCGCGCAGAGAGAGGGCTTGTGGACTGGGCAAGTTTGGAAACGGAAGGACCCTAGAAAGGGGGCAGTTCTAACACAATGCCTCTTTTTTCCCACACTGGCTGCAAATAGGCTATGAATGAACACCTGCAAGCATGGAAACTTCTCCATGCAGTGGCAAAAGCAAAAGGGACATTTTTGTGTGTACATGAACACATCTTTCTGAGATGTTCTTTTTTTTGACCTTAAAATGAAAAGGATGTTTCATCCTTCCATCCTTCAGGATGCTGAAGGAGGAAAAGCATCAGATGGTAAATAGTTTGACAAAGCAACCTGAAGAAAGCTAGCTCAAATAATTTAATATAAAGCAAACCTTTCCTTAAATCAATTCCTCTCTGAAGTGAGGTACAATAGGAAGTCCAAAATATATGTGCGTCCTGAATATGCAAAATCCAGTATGTTAGCCAAAGTACAAAATCTTGGGTTTTGATAATTGTCTCTCAAGTTAAGGGACTGTTTGTGTGCCTGCAGGTGGATGTCCAAGTTATGGAATGCTGTGATAGCTCCCAGAGTTCAAGAAGCAATACTCTCCAGAGCCTCTCTGAAACGACCATCTGTACCAGGACAAGCGATAGCCAAAAAGAATCCTAGCCAAGGTCAACAGGCTGTTGTTAAAGCTGCTCTCAGTATCTTGCTAAATAAAGCTGTTTTGCATGGCTGTCCTCTGCCCAGAACAGGTAACAGTGAACAGTCTGAAAGCCAAGTAGTTGTACATTGCCAAAGTGGGGCTTTTAACTATGTGTTTCCTTTTATAAAATTGCCACAAAAAGTAAGTGTGGTTATGATGGGAGGTGTGTGGTTTAAAGCATTTACAGTCACTAAACCAAGTAGTAGAAGAAACATTTGCTACAGTCAATTCTTAACACTGTTCTACTTTGGTTTCAGAGCTAGATAATTATATAGCAGATTTTAAGGGAGGAAATTTTCCTTTATCCGTGGTTTCAAGCTACAAAAATTGCAGTAAAAAAAGAGGTGAGAATGCTTCTTGGAGAAAAGTCAGCACAAGTCCTCGCAAAAAGTCAGGCCATTCATCCTCCCAGTCTTGGAATGTTCAGGAGACAAACACTGAAGGTAAAGCTTTCTGGTTTTGTTGCTGGAAGGAGGTGTGGGTGGTTTAAGCTGCCTAGATATTAATCTAACTTTTTTCCTACATCATGAATTAAAAATTCTCAATTAAATGGCACTTATGCTTGTTTACCTTTTTTTTTTTTTCTATTTTTTTAAAAAAAAATATTTCTTTGTGACTTCGAGGTATCCTAATCGATTTGTTTGTTTTTTCTAATGCCCTTCCTGTTGCCTGATAATGAGGTAGGCTTTGGCTCAGCTGGTGGAAGACTGAGCAATGGTTCCACCTCATTTTGTGTGGAATGATGCTCTGTCATTCTCTTCCTCAATACCAGAAGAGAGAAAGCTTCATTGCTTGATTGGTACTCCTTAGTTATGCACCTGATTTACAGTATAGCTATTTTTGGGGGGTTGTACCTGTGGTTTATAGCATTGCTACAATCATTTCTGTTGTCTGTATCTAAGTAAAACTAATGAATACATGCATTCTCTGATCATTCATCCCTTGCTCAATGTTATTGGATAAATTGAGCAGAATAATCTAGAAGCCCTGTAGTAGCAGAGATATTTGGTTTTAATTGAAGATTTTTGTTTTATTTTCTCTTTAATTACAGAAAAAAAGGCAAAATTTCTGTGTAATCACAGATACACTAAAATTTTCAAGAAGTTTCCACATACTTTTCAGTATGCTGCTTGATAGAAAAGGCTTTGTATGACTAGATCTGTGTGTGTATATAAATGGATACACTAAAATTTTCAAGAAGTTTCCACATACTTTTCAGTATGCTGCTTGATAGAAAAGGCTTTATACACACACACAGATCTAGTCATATAAATGTGAAAGTTGTATTAGTAGCTGACACTTTTGAAATGTCTTTTCACCTCAAGATCATAAGCCATCTAACAAGCAGTTTACTGGACAGGGATAATGTCTGAGTATGTGCAGAAGCAAATTCTTATTCTTTCAAAAGGAGAAGAAATCTGTCTAGAAGGAAAACTTAGGACTACCATAACCAACCAATATTGAACAGGAAAATTAGAGAACAAAATCCAATTATTTATTTTCCTTTCAGAAAATGAAGGCAACTTCTTCAGAGAGGAGTGAGGAAGGGATTTAGAGAGAAAGAGGCTTATACACACACACTTCAGAAGCAATAAGAGTCTAGCCTCAATTACCTCAAACACAAAAGACTAAAATACTTGATGCCTGGTACTTCATAATGTTAAATTGAGCTATTCATTTCTTCAGCTCTTGTTCAGAAAGAAGTTTGCTTTTTTTGAACTGCAACTCTAACGTCCTGATTTTGCTTTCTAGTTCTCTAGTTGAATTGTGAATTTGTCTAATCCTACTAAGAGGATTTAAAAAATCAAATTAACATAATCTCAAGTAGGATGGTTGATACTGTATCTTGTACCTGAGAATGTTCTTGGAATCCAGTTAATATCTGTGAGCTGAAGATAAAAGGCAGAATGGTGAATTTAATTTTAGTAGCCTTCCATTCCTGACTATCAAAATCAAATGTTGTTCCTCATCCAAGTAAGAGTAGGTTGTTTGATTTTACTTAAATGAAGCAAACTTAAATCTTTTTCTGCTGACAAGTGATTTCTATTTGATAGAACCAGTAAAGAGTGGTTCAAGTGCCTTGCACAGAAACCTCATGTTCTGTCTTCCACAAAAGCTTGGGCAACTCATGCCCTGTTTGCCATTTTAGCAGTTCCTAATGCTACTCTGAACAGTTTCAAGGGATGTATTCTGATCTTGAGCAGACTCTATTGATATTAGCCAGTAAATGCAAAGGTATTTCCCCTGTTTATCACAAATTTTAGAATAAAGAAATCAAGGCACAGGATACTAACAAGTCAATCTCTCTTTTGTGCAGGTATAAAATCTAAGACTATGTTGCAACCAAACTGTAAGAAAAGAGCTTCTCTTGCCACAAAGTAAGTTTTAATTTCTGGCATTTATAACACCTAGCAAACAATAAAGATGATAAAATTGTGTTGTAAACTAGCACATTATAATGAATAGATGAAGAAATGTATTTGGTAATATTTTGGTTCTGCATCTGAAGAAAGAAATTGTTTTCAATTTTTAGTTACAACAGAAAACTTATGTACTACAATATTATTTTAGAGTCCATTTCTGTAATTCAGACCTTGCACCACAACATGTCATTTTATGTAACAGAATAGTCTAGGACTTAATATTATGTAACCCTTACTCTGCCATGCAAAGTATGCTTTTCTCACCTGACATAATTCTCAAACTCTTTGTCTCTTCTAGCTTACTGAACAGCAGTTCAAAATGGGATAGCACATGCACTCTAGTCTATACAACAGAGAGTTTCTCTAAGGAAATGTATGAATTTGCCAGAGGGAGCTGCATTTGAGACTATACTTCAGTCTGAAACCTTGGGTTTACTATATTCACAGGCACAGAGAGCACACAGTATTTGTGCTTTCAGTATGCCAGGGTTATTTTACGTTTTTGGAACCAAGTACAAAAAGGAGAGTGGAATAAAATTGGTTGCTTCATCTTACAAAGAGGGAAATCTTTGAAGATAACAGGCAGAAGAATCCTTTGTTAGGATTTCAGAATGGAGAGAATAATTTGAAGAGAAAGGAGTTCTATTATGATATAACAACTATTGCTGCCACTTACGTAGATTTTATTTTCTTTCTTTTTGTGGTAGTAAAGGTCTTTTGGAAAGAAATCACTTTTTTTTTTCAGGTGTGTATAGTATTTATTCTAAATTCTGTATCATAGCTTAATTGTTCTCTCAATTTCTGGTTTTTTTTTTTTTTTGGTGCTTGGGTTTTTTTAGGTCTTCAGAGAAGGATCAATTGAGAACGTTAAATCTGGAGCAAAGACTGTCCCTTGGTTCTGATGATGAAGTAGATCTTGTGCAGGAACTTCAAAGTATGTGTTCCAGCAAATCTGAGCCTGATATAAGCAAGGTAAACACAAGGTTTTTAAATAATTTACATCATTACCATATGCAGTTGTTTGCTACGTGTTTAAAATAAATTTTTAATTTAGAAGCATACTTGAACTGAAGAAAATTATTAAATTATTTTGGAATAAGCCAAAGTCAACTAATAAATTATACATTTGAGGGTAAGTGTTCTGCTTTAATATATGTTATTTTAAATTACACCTTCACTTTTTTTTTCTTGTAGAGTTTTTTGCAGTGGAGGCTGAAATGTGTAAGTTTATAAGTGCTAGTGACAACAACCTTCTCTGCATTATTGTTCCCCATGTTATCTTTCATGCTGTCATTGCTTCCACTAGGAAACTGATTTGTAGTCTCAAAGACACAGGAAGTTTTTTCCTAATATGCATTGCACGTTTGGTGTGTTTAATGTCATCCCACTGGCCATCGCAGAACTGACCCAAGCTCCTCTGCTGTGTAGGCAAAATGCAGTTTTGCTGCTCCAAGCAAGAAAGAATGGATGGGCCCAATTCTTTAGCAGGGGCAGGAGAGGGTGAAGGATGCTTGCCAGGCTTATAGGTTTGGGGCTAAGTTCTGTGCTAGAATGCGTTGTGGGAGGCCTGTTGGAGTGGAGGGTGGAGCCATGAATCTCTCTCATTTTTCCTTCTACACCAAAAGCATCCGTCTCTCCCTGTAGCTGTAGCTATTTTATTCCTTCTTTCCTCCTGGCACAGCTGAGGTAGGTGGCTGTGACAGCAGGCTGTGCTGTATCTTCTGAAACACAGATAGTCAGTCGTAGGCTACTGTCCAGTTAGGCTGGACATTACATCCCCTAGGATCAGCCTGCACAGCAGTTCCATTATTTTTTCTTGATGAAGTATTCTATGCAGTCATAGAAGTCAACAAAGTTTTTATTAAAAAAAGAAATAGAGTGTTTGGGAAGATTGTTCAACCCATTTAATGAAATCCTTTATTACAGTGTTTTATTTGGGTTTGTTTTTTTTTTTTTTTAAGTATTTACAGTACTTGCATGAGTCACATGCATCACACATGCACTAGTCAGCAAGGATTTACCATATCTATCCTTGAAAGAATGGGATGGGCTTAAAGAAGTGGTAACTTAAAATTGTTTAATAACATGTAAAATGTAATTGCCCATTGTTGACAATTGAAGGAAATATGGGTTAGATAAGGAAGCAGATAGATGTCACTGTCTTTTGTTCAGTTTCCTCACCATGGGTGGAACCATCCATGGCTGGAATTTCTGTTGTTAATTCCCTAGCTGCCTAGTAGAGCCTTACAGAGGTAAGGGTGCTGTTGCATGTTTTCTTTGTGTGATGTAATTTCAGGCTGTAATCAAAATTAGTGTTTCTACATTATAATTTGCCCTCTCACTCAAACATGTTCCTGCTGCCTCTGTTATGTTGGGACTGAGTACACCTGTAGTGGCAGAGTTGAACTGGATCAGCTTGCCCCTGGATCACATACCTAGTTTTCAGTGAGGACAGAAGGCTGATCAGACTCTGCTGTTGCATAGTCACAAGGTTTGATGGAAAACCATAGAGGAAGAACATGGCCTAATGAAGAGAATAAGAGCATTTCTTCCTGTGATGTTCCTGGGACTGGATAAAACTTAATGGGAAACTGCCCTTAAGCTCCACTGAATAGTATTGCTCTGGAAATGTATGTTTAGTTTTCCTCTGATAACAGTCGATAGGAAATCTCTCTCTGTATGTCCCATCTCCTACAAATGCACTCACAGGTAAAGAAAAGATATTTTAACTGCTTCACCTATTTATGTATTGCATTGCACAAGAAACTACATGAAAATAAAATCAAGGCTTCAAAATTTGACAAATTGAAACAAAATCTTTGCTGTGAATAACTAAAGTCGCCATTTTCTTATCTTTTTTAGATTGCAGAATCTAAGGGTGAGGTATTGCTGTTCAATAGTTCTCAGAACAATCCCGTATTTGCAGCAAGTGGTACTAACCAAAGTAAAACAACAGCACAAAGGGTAGGTGGAACAAGTTTTGTAGTAGTTTAGGGAAGGTGTCTTGAGATTCTCCAAGATAGAATTCCTGGTTGGATATAAAGAATCACTGTTCCAGTGCCCTGTTTATTACAAGAATAAACTGTCATGATTCTTAGGAAACTTGCTAGACATACCATGCAAAGTTTCCTCAATGTGTCTTAATGGAAACCAGAGATTTATTAAACAATGGATGTATTTGCTTCCGTTTTCATGTTTACATGAAGCCATCTTCCTGTGCCAAGTATTGTTGACATTACTTTATTATAAATTATTTTCATCAGATTTTTGAGTAAATTAAAAGCCCCAGGTTCATCGTTTCCCCCCAGTTAATGTTATTCAATAAGTTTGCAGAAGTACAAAACTTTTTTTTTTTAATGGTTGATGTAAAATTGCTGGCTCAATCATTTATTTTTCTACCTTTTTTTTTTTGTGATTACCCAAATACATATGAGTTCAAGCCATTACTTTCCTAACTGTTGTTAGCAAAGTAGAGTTGAGCTCTGGTGTCAAAGCTCTCAGTGGTAGAAATTCTGAGAAGACATATTACCAGAGTTTGTGAAGAACAGCTTTTTCCTTTTTTTTTTTAAATAGGGGAATTTAATTTCTTTTTTCTAGCTAGCTACTTCTTGTATATATGGTTATCTTGCCGTATTATTTATGAGAAATCAAAAGAAAACCTATGTTACAAGTTGGGTGATTCTGGGAAAAGACATTCCAACTGTCAAATTTTACTAACTTCAGACCAGTTTCAGAGTGAGAAGATGAACTGAATACTACTGGATGATATACTAGGTCCAATATCATCTTCTTTTCAGAAACTGAAACATTGTTTGTGGGTGCTAACACCCTACTAAATATGAGGATGAAATTATATTCTGCTTATACTCTTTGCATAATAAAGTAAAAGTTATGCTTTCTCTGTTGTTACACTTTTTCCCCTTTTCTTTCTTGCTCCTTGTTTTTGAACATACAGACAGCTGGTGAGCACAGGGCTCAGTTAACCTCAGCCAGAGCAGAATCTGTTGTCTGTGTTCCTTCACTAGGCCCTCTGTGTTCCCTCAATGGGGGTCCTGTAGAGTCCAATCCACGCACTTTTACTTGACTCAGATATGTTGTTTTCTAGAGACACTCTGTTTTTTCCAGGTACAATCAAGCAGCCCTGAAAATAGCTTAACATGCACACCTAAGTTTTAAAATGCTAAAATTGGATGAGAAGACTTACCACTCTCACCATCATCTTTTTTCATACCCAGATATTGAAAATATTTGAATATTTTGTGTAATTTTACTTAAAATCCAGGTAATAGTCTCCACTAACAGAAATAACTTTAAAATTGCAGAACTTCCTTTAGATATACTGCCTTTGAATATTTCTCTAAACACATTGATTTCAGGCAATACAAATCAGAACTTCACGTAGTAGTGATGCCTGGATAATTTGGTAAGCCAGCTGACCATACCCATTCGTACAGTAAATTTTTCTTAGTGAATTATTTTCCTTTTAAAATTCCATCTAGAATGAAAGATTTAACTACATTGACGTTGGAGGTGGACAAGCTTGGCTACCTTTGAGGTTTTTGAAGCACTTAGTCAAAAGATTTCATACAGAATTAAAACTGATTTCCCATACCTTTGGGGAAATGTTGGCCAAAATTAAGGAAACATAACCCAAACTTTTGCTAGAGGGGAAAAAGTTCTAATAGAATGACAAGCGTGGTTTCTAGTTTTAGTCATTAGTACAATAAATTTATAAAAAATTTAGAAGAGCACAGTCTCGATTTGGAAGCAGATGTCAAACTTTTAGAAGCAGTTGTAATGATAATAAACCCATGCAGCTGCAAAAACTGGTGTCTGAAAAAGAGTTTGAGTAAAAAAGATTAATAAAAACACGCAGCGATGAATCATTTCTCTTCATGCCACCAATCTGTATATGAAGAGCAGCAGCTGATGGTGAAAATGAACTTTTTAGTATAGCTGCCTAGAGGGTGATGTGGATTCAGCTGAGGCTAACAATTAAGGTCCTGACTCTCCTTCCCTGCTTGTGGAAAGGTGGACGTCCCTCATGAAAGTTGTATGTTAGTGACCCACCACAAAATGGCTAAACTAACATCTTTCTCCTGAACTATAAAGGAACAAAAAAGAACAACGTACCTGACTTGGGCACCTGAGGTATCTAAATTTGGGCAGGGTGAATGTGGTCTTTTTTTAAGAATGTAGCTTCTTAGCATAAATAATTTGAGATGCTAAAATCTAATTTTATAAGAAAACAACCTGTAAGATTATGGATTAAAAAGTAATTCGCATTTCAGTATCTGTTCTTAGGGTATTATATTTTGTTATTATTTATGGCCATGATGGTACAAAATTAAAGTTAATAGCTTTATTCAAGCTGTAAAGGTGATTTTTTTTGTTTTGTTTTGGTGTTGGGTTTTTTTTTGGTTCATAACTACCTAATTTTTCTTTATTTTTTTTCCCCTTTTAGCAGTGGCTGCAGCTGTCATTTCTCCACAGTAATGAAAGAAAAAACGTGTATTTTTTTAATCTGGGTACTTTTGAAATTGAGACATCTGAGAACCAAATTTAGGTTTTTTTTCAATGATGGTGCAAAACCCCCATTTACTTATTTTGGTATTCTAAGATGTTGATGGTATTTCCGTTCAGTCAAAGAAGCAAAAAAGAGCCAGAATTTGTTCACCAAGCAGTGAGAAGCTGTCATATTAAACTGGAAAAGATTGTAAATAGCAAGGGTTCTATGGGTCTGGTGGGGTTGGTTCGTTGTTTTTCAGGTTGAACTGATATAATTGTTTATACAGAAAGTGCTTTTTTTTCTATCCATAGGCTGGAATGCGTCCTCTCAGCAGCAGTCGAACTGTGGAAAGCAGCAACAGTAAATCAAAGACAGAGTTGGGTGTTTCAAGAGTTAAATCTTTTCTTCCTGTTCCTAGAAGTAAAGTCACCCAGCCTTCTCAGAATACTAAAAAAAGCAGCAGCAGTAATACAAGGCAAATAGAGGCAGATATTAACACAAAAAGAGAGATTTGGAATTTGCACAAAAAAGAACAAATAGAAAAATCTAATAAATAAACCTGCCTCCCATACAATTTTCTGTGTTCATATAATCTCTACTGCAAAGAACCAAGTACACAAATTTGTAAATATTTTTTTAAAATAAACTGTTTCCCTGTAATGTAAAGTTTGTACAGGACCACAGTTTTATTTCTGTGTAAATCAGCTGGAAATTATCTTGATTTAAACTTCAGAAATGGGCAGTTTTGCAACCTTCATAGATTTTTTTTCTTCTTCTTCCTTTATTATGAAAATTACTCATTTAAATGATAATATTCAGGGGTATTACCACAAGATTCTCTTTGTGTATATACTGTACATAAATGTATTAAGTTCACATATTAAACTGCATTCAGATGAGTTGCACAATATGTACAGCAATGGCTTAAAGCTATTGTACATGCATTTTAAAGACATTTTTATCTTCACTTAATAAAAAACTAATGGAATGTGGCAATAACTAAAATGATTGGAAATGCAGATCAATTACTTTCAGCTACAAGCCATATTAAACTCTTTGATTTCCCCATCATCTGCCTGCTGAATTGTGAGTTTTGTTTCTCCCAAGCTTCTCTTTATTGAAAATGTCATGAATTTCCATTGTAACTTTTATCTTTTAAAAAGGAAAGAGATTGAGAAATTAAAATGCAATAAAAGTTATTTTTCTCAGACTCTTATTCTTTGATAGATTTGAAAAAATGTGATCATTTATTAACTTAGTTTTTCTCATATACCGTAAAAACTTTTATATCCTTCATTAATTTTTTGAAAATATGTGAGAAATAATAGTGTTTTACAGAAGCAGTTCTTGACTGAGAAGGAATTTGAGCACAAGCTTAACTCCAGTATTATCAGAGAGAATGTAGTAGCGATAACATGAGGTACCGTGTGATTATCAATTTCTATTGTGGATTTACAATGCAATTGCTGTGACCTGAGTAGCAGTTCTATTTAAGCATTTTTCATTTTTGCCCCCACAACAAAGGTAGATGGTGTTCCCATGAGGGAGGGTTTCTACGAAGGGGGTATTTCCCCAGCCTCTCTGTATGGTAGCTGCAATTACATAGCTGTGAATTGTAATGATGTGGAAACGCTCACTGTGCCAATACCTCATCAGGTAGGCAGAAGAAAGTGCAGAGATTTCTTGAGATCAGACTTGGATGCCTTCCAGTGGGCTACCAGGGGATAGTTTTGAGAGCTGTGGGCAGTACCATGGTCATGCCTAAAATTTCCAGAGTAGCGTTTTGGTCAAAATAAGCCTGGAAGAGGACAGGATTAGCTAACGGCTTCCTAACACTTCACCTTTGTATGTAAAACAGTCATCCCAAACTCATGTCAATAAAATTTTTGTACTGCATAGTGTCTGTGTGTGTGTGTTACCTCTATAGAGAATATTAGAAGCTTATTTCTGTAAGCATTTCCCATACAGTATGTTTAGAAAGTACTATATCTTTCAGTAATCACTGTTCTATTACAACTTCAATTTCTTTTGCGGTAGTAACATATAATCGAACACTGATGATTTCTCTAGAGGTTGGTTTGATGTTATTTTTCTGCAGTAATTTTGGTGCTGCAAAATGGGATGCTACTTTTGCAGTTGGTTCTTAGCAGAGTGAGTCAGCTGCAAACCACTTCAGGCCAGAGCAAATGGGTCTCAGCAACTGGCATCCCTGACGTGTTGAAGCTGTGTGGCAGCTTGTGTGAGGAGCTCAGGCATGGGTTTCATGGTGAGGAGGAACACTAAATGGAAACTGGTTTTTGTAGCAATTGCATGAATTACAACTTTGGGATTTATAATTGCAATAAATCAATTTTTTAAAATAAAAACTAAAAAATCCAGACATACTTCTAAGCTAGGTTCATTCTATATTAAAAATACACCTTGGAAATGTCAGACCTCTTTTAGATCAAGAGTTAGCAGTGTGGTTTTGTGTGGGAATATCTTAGGCATGGTGTCCCAAAGCATGTTTTGAGGTATATTTTAAGACTCTCTTATATCGTCTGTGAGAATCAAAAGTGTTCTGTGCTGTACTTTGAGTGAAAATCTGCAGAGGATCAAGTAACTTTGATCATCTGTTCATGGTATGAAAGTTAGGTCTCTTGCTAAATTTAGTGTTGCCTTGCAATGCCCTCATTATCCTGTTTTTTCAGCCTGCTGTCCTAATCTCTCTCCATCTGCATCTTTTACCTGGTTGATTTCTACCTGCTATCATTTTGTGTGTCTGTCTTTCTGTTCAATACAGTCTGTGGTCTTCATACATCTTTAATTGCACAGTATGTTGCAGGTCTCCTAACTGTTAAGCTCTCCTTTTAGGCCATGTCAGTTCCTACCCTCAAGTGGTGAAAACCACATAACCATAAAATCACGTGGCTGTGGACATACTGGCTTCCCCCTTGGTTTTTCTTTGGGAATTGTGCAGAAGCATGGCAAGGCTCCGTTCATGAGCTCAGGGCTTCACTGCATCTCCAGGTTCTTCCTGGGATGCCAGAAACAGCACTCCTCCTCCGTGACTTGTAGTATCAGCTACTCTCATTTTGGGTTAGTGATAGGCAAAATCCTTTTTCTTTGTTCCTTCCTGTGTCTTAAGCAGAGAAGTTTCAAGTGTGCAATCTCTGGTGGACCACACTGCTCCACCCTGCTCCCATCTGTTACCTCCTGTATCTTTAAAGAGGTGAGGTTGAGTGAAGAGAGACCCTGTCTATATAGGGGAGTATCTCAAAGTATAGGGAAACTTCAAAGGTTGCATCCATTCCACAGGCCACTCGGTCAGTGAAAAGACAATTCAGCCTCTATCTCACTACGCTGAACTCCTTATACACAGCTCAATTTCTTCAGCCCTTCCAATCTTCTTCCCAAAATTTCAGCTCCACGAAAAGACAATTCAGCCTCTATCTCACTACGCTGAACTCCTTATACACAGCTCAATTTCTTCAGCCAGAGGAACAAGAAAGATCATTCTTGTTCACCAATGACCTTGGTGAGTCCCAAAATTACAGCTCCACACGTCAGTCCTGAAAATAAAAGCTTTCGGCATGTGTCCTGTTGTTCTTATTTCTTAACAAGGAACATGGAGTTTGTTTCTTTAAACAGCATCTGAATCCATCAGACAATATTTGCCTCAGTTATTTAGTTGCTGAGCATGAGTTCTGAAATGAAGAGAGTGAAGAAACCTGCTCCATCATTTAACCAAGACAGCAACGTTCATCAACAAGAGCAAAATCAGAGGGCCTGAATTTTGGAGGCCCATCTTTTCCCAGCTCAAATAAAGCTCAAGTGATGTACAAAACAAATTAAAACCCTCCAGCTTTCCAGTATAATCGCTGAAGCGAGGCCCATCTTTTCCCAGCTCAAATACAGCTCAAGTGATGTACAAAACAAAACCCTCCAGCTTTCCAGTATAATTGCTGAAGCAGAATAGCCTCTACAGGTGGAAGATGCTTGTAGAAGGAGACAACCTAGAGAAAGGACAAGTGACCACTTTCTTGGTTCTACAGCTAAGGAGGTGTTCATGATGCTCAAACTCTAATTAAGAGACTAGAATTACAAAGTGGCTGCTCTTCAGAAACCTGAAGGCAAAGCGACTGTGGAGGCAGCACGAGGTGTGTTTGTGCTGGGCTGTAGCAAAGGCAGGCTCAGAAGGCAGAAGTTTGCTTTTGCGTATAGTTAAGACACTGAAAAGAAAAGAGTTTTAATTCCAAGGATTTAGAGGAAGAGAAGAAGACCACTTCCTAAGCACAGTGGTAGTCCAAGTGTAGTTTAGCTAGTATTAGCTCAAAAAGGAGCTGGGATACATTCTCCCGTGTCGTGCAGTGCAGGCTTAGGAGAAAGCAGAACATAAATAACTGGCCAGGTCCAGTCGGTGCCAAGTTCCTTTCCCAGCTACAGAGGTTGCACCAAGCTCACAGGCTCATCACAGACACAGCAAGAGTAAATGTAGGCCCCTGAACATATCAGAGTGACTGAAATCCATTTTTATATAGTGTGTTTAAAAAGTCTGGGGAGAGGAAACTAAGAAAACCCATTCATATATTAAAGCCTTGAACACCATGGAAGGAACCTCTAGAAAGAAAAGAACAGGCAAAGTTACACACCACTTGAAAACCTCCAGTTGCATTTACTAGGGTTGTATTTTGAGCTTGAAGTAAGCCCTGGTGAAATTAGTAATAATATGGTTTGTCCTAGGCACGGGAAATTGTTTTTGGAGAACATGAAGGTTTATAAAGGAAATGTGTTACTGTATTGCATTGCATATTTGCTTAATTTGTAAGATTTGTAGGCAGCAATTAATTGTCCATTAGTGAACAATTTTACAGATGGTTTAAAGTGCTTTCTTTTCCCCCAGATGTTTAATCATAGCCAAGTAATGGCAGAGCTAAAATACCAAATCTATATTAGAAAGAGGAGAGAAAAAAATATCAGAATACATTTTAGATAAAGTGAATAAAATGCAACAAGTTATATAGTTCTGAACTGACCTCCAACAATCTACACCTATTCAGAAGTATCATGAGGAAATGTAAAAGGTACCTTTTCCAAGAGCTGTCACATTTCAAATACCTTAAACCTGTTGCTTCAACAGGGCAGAATTCAAGAAGTGTGGAGCCGTTGGGCATTTAGCAGCTCTGATGCTGGTATAGCAGGCTGAGGGATGTGAGGTTAGTGGAAATGGAGAAAGTAGATCTTATAACTTCAGAAATAGATATTTAATGAATAAAATATTAAAGCTAGTAAGACATCCATTAAACAACAGTGAAAGCAAAGTTATTTTTTGGCCTAGTAGGCTTGTTTGACCCCAGTGAGATATTGAGCAGTTCCCGCTAATGACTATTATCAAGTGTGGTTATTTTGTATATAAGATTTATGAAGATGATTAAATGTGTACAGTTCAAGTTTGTTTAGCCTAACCTTGCTTGGCCACTGCTGTCCTAAGATCTTCTTAGTGCTGTATTAGCAGCTTGGCCATCCTGCTCTCTTCTCTGTACTTACAGAAAGCTACAGATTCTCTGCAGAGTATTGTCTTTTTCAGTTTTTTGGTTTCTTCCTAGCAGGCTGAAAAATTAAATCTTTATGTGTAGTAGCATGCTTTTCTCCTTGGCTATATATTGTACACTCCTTTTAATAGTACAAGTGTGTACTTAATAATAACAAAGTGTTTTGGAAAGCACCTTTTTTTTAAAATCTGTTTTGGTTTGGTTTATAAAATGTGTGCAAAGTGAAGTATGTGAAAAGAAAAATCTTAAATAATGCTCAGCCTGCGTTTATGAAGGTCACTGTTCTCTTCCACTGTGTTATTGGGTTATAGCCTCATTTTCTTTTCTTTTTTTCCCACTTGTGCTCCATTTTCCACCATGAAGAGTATGTGTAGCTTCCCAGCATAGCTTCACTAGCTGCTCACATAGCTGT